ACACACACACACACACTCTTCTGGACTCCGTCAACATGACGAGTGTTCACCCAGAGCAACCAGGCTCAGAGCTGGAATCCTAGTTCAGGGCCTAAAGTCCTGCCAAGTCATCCTCAGTCTGAGAAGTTGCGTGTTTTCCATTCACTGTGACGTCAAGAAGGAGGGAGGGGGGCGGGGGTTGTTCGTCATTAATGTCCCGCTTTAAGAGCTGAGCTGTCGCCAAGCTCAACTGCTCCCTTATCATTGAAATCAATGTCATCCTGTTGCCAGTTACCATCACTCCAGATTTACTCCTCCGCTAGATAAACAGATCTACTCCTTCCCTCGCTGGAAACCACACAGCTCGTGTACCCCCTGTTGACTTGTCTGGCTAAAGTGCCTCTGCAGCATTTGCTTACGCTTGGATAAAAACCGGTTCAATACTGACATGGTGGAATAAAGAGCTCTATTCCTCGAGAACACCAAAGAAACAGATCCAAAATCAAAAGCTGTGCTAGTGAGGGCGAGGAGAGAAATAAATATCAAGACTTGGGTAGATTGAGAGGTCATTACTTACTATGTAGGCGCAAATGGGACTGAAGGCATAGGTGCCACACACATAGAGATGAGTGCTGTTCAGCCGCAGGAGAATTTTGATGTAATTGAAGCAATCAGTCTGGATGGGGAACAAAGGGAGAAGCAATTGTGACGTCTATGAATCCACAAGAAATTCTCACAACTGAATGTGTTTTTCATGAGAGCTCCTTAAAGTCTGTTCCTTAAATACTGCAGCTCCTTAACACAACACACAAAATAAATCAGAAACTGTTCGATAGACATGGTTAGAAACATACACATGGTGCCCTTTCTAAAACGCTGTTGGGAAAAACCTCCCAGCGTCACACTTTTGCCTGGTGGGTTTTCTGTAATACACGGACCAGAGTTGTACACTGCAGTACAAAGATTACCAAGGTTTGTCGCCTAGGGATATAACAGCTGGTGTGACAACAAGGTAACAGACAGACAGAGAGAGAGAACGAGAAAAGAAAGAAGCAGTGCACACAGAAAAAGAGCAATTCCCCGGTGAGCGTGCACACTTGATGAATCTATTTGTAACTGGTGGAAAGGTTTGTCAACACAGAACTCAATGCTCATTTTATCTTCTGGCAACACCAGTGAAACGATTCCGAAAGGACTGCAAGGAAAGAACACACTCCCTCAAAAAGAAAATCCATGCTTTCGATATTGTCATTATGGAACTATTTTCCTGAGGTATTTTCATTATTTCGCTGCAGCGGTAAAAAGGTGCCTCTCACCTCCAGGTTCTTCCCTTTGAAGCTGCATTCCTCTCTTTTTCCAGCAGGAGTGCCCCACGTCAGCTGAAGATGAAAAAGAAAGCCTGAGTAAGTCATGCAAAATTCAGAGAACCATGCTTATTTAAGACTAAAATGTATACAATGAACTGGCGTATGGTATGGAAATAATACCTCTTATTCGACAACAAATAACATGTGGAGTCAAGTGAGCTGCTAGATTATGTATTTCGCAAGTATTACAAACCGCATTATTGACTCTATTACCTAAATTACCAATGCCATTTATAAACATTATTAAAATGAGAGCAAATTATCTGCCAGCCCACTCATTCATTGCCGTTTTGCCTCTCATAATCCACTTGGCATTTGGACTCACGTTCTTCTGCAGCTTGGTTTTGCTGATGTCCGAGAGGCTGAGGGCGAACAGCGCCTCCCTGGCTCCGACGTACAGCATGTCGTCCTCCTGGCTGAGCAGCAAAGAGGTGTAATTGAAGACGCCGTCCACAGAGAATCTCTTGGCCGACCTCTCCTTTGCATCTGGAAAACAGCAGCAAAAAAAGAGAGAAACAATTCATGAATTAAATATTACAGTGCTGGGATTTAAAATGCATGTTGGTGGAGTGTTAAAGGGTATCAACATTTCATCTCATAGAAATAAATGTTTATTAGATACAAAATACGTGACAAAATGATTCGTTTTATAAAGCTTTATCAGGTGGAAAACAATATTTTGAAGTAGAAACAGAGGTGATTTATAAAGTAGATATCATTTAAGAAATTTACAGAAAAGTGACACAAAGTGTTCCTGCTACATTCAGGATGGTACACCATGCTTACATAATAATACCTCAAAAGTAGTGATAGAACAATGAATCGGTCGGCTGATTAATTGGGCCGATTATCTGCCATTTGGAGAAAAATGATTGGGGTCCATAAACAAAAAATGCCTGAATACGCATCGGCAGGCAGCTTTTTTAGTCTAGCTGCTGTGGAACGATGTTAGTCCTCCTCCTCGTGGCTTTCGGGAAGGTAGTGAAAACGTTGTTTCAAGCACTGTACTGCAACTCTCTTGCATGCTGCTGTATTCATATACCTAAATCTCCTGTACAATAGAATAGTTATACATGCACTTTTCTCTGTTTTAATATCGGCATTGAAAAACCCATATCGGTAGCCCACCATTAGTCTATGGGCCTAATTTGTTGGGCTAATTAGCCAACCAGCTATTAAAAAAAGAATGAGGCCAAACTGAAAAATTACATACAACTGATTAAAATAAATATATTAATGGAGAAATAACAAGACATATTCTGAAGTTGGGGTTTATTCCGAATCCTGTCAACATATCAGCACAAAATAAGTCCCACTGCTACTGTATTGTTGTATATTGTATGTATATGTTGGCCAGACACAAATGTACGATCGGAAAGCAAGGAAATCTAGGAATCTCTGTCAAGGCATCACAGAGAACCACAAATCTAGCAGGAAACGAGAACAAGTGCACAGACATCACATTACACCCAACTACAACACAACACATAGTGGTGAGCTTCAGTCAAATCAATTTATGATACAAGGGGAAAACTGTCTTTGAGCATTATTTCTGTACTCTTACAGGGGACTGTCCTCTCTGTTTATCTCTCTCTCTGGTGGTAGCAGCCAGCAGCTACTGTAGCTCCAAGAGAACAGGTCACATGTACGCCAGTGAGCCACGTCCACACTTTCCTGTGCTGGCCAGCTCTCTCTTTGCTCTGCTCTGTACTGGCAGCAGGGTAAAAGCCTCTTCTACTCAACACCAATCTAAATCTCTTTCATTCTGCTGCCCGCCAACCCTCTTCAAATGGATCTCTTTAGCAGTGGGCCGTAAGTCAAATTAGTTACTTTTTCCCCCCGCATAGCTCCCCTCCCTGCAGCCTAGAATAGCTCTTGTGATGAGGTACAGATTTAATGTACACAATCCCCCTTTTATAGAATTTCCCTTGGCATCACAAACAGCTCGGGATTCTCTACAGTGGCATCAGCAGCAGCTTTTTACTGCTTTCCACTGTGAAAGTGGAGATTCAAGAGGTTTGGATTGATTTTTTGCAGCCAGTTTTTGTAAAAGGCAATAAGTCTGACAATTGGTCACTTTTCAGTTTGACTTACTGTGTGATAAACTGCTCAAACTACCCAGTATAAATTGCAACAAAGGGTCCAGGAAGCCATGAAAAGTGGTTTATTCAAGACCTTCAAGCATTGTGGTCCTTAGGGAAACAACAGCTGAGGTTGGGTCTGTGTGTATCTGGATGCGTGTTATCACTTGGTATCTAACAAGACTAACAATCTTCTAGAGGTCACCAAAGACATGGGATATGTGCAATCAAATATTTGTACGTCTATTGCTTACATACTTCTTACCCTTTGCAGTTTTTTGACCATCTATGTAAATGTTTATCTACTGCGTACCATTCCAAACACATTAAACACACTGGATGTGCACCCCAAGCCAAATCGCTGGGGGTCACAGACTCCATTTGCTTATCCAAATAAGATTACTGGCTCGTATCTGGAGTCGTCAACACTAATATTTGCTGCAGTTAACCGTTTACAGCCTTTTTATTCGTGTATAACCAGCAAACCGAATTCAAATTTAGACACTTCTGACAGTAAGAAAAAGACACCAGCAGTATGTTTATCTCCAACACTCCAGGAGGTGCAGTGGACCATAATGCAAATGGGGCCAGTAAACAGCAATAAATGTTTACAACCCACGATTTAAACTTTTCAATATGCTCACAAACAAATGGTTCATCTAACAGTTGAGGCATTTTGGCAGATGATCGTCTTCCCCTTATGGGAGAGAAAGCCAGCTGCACAAGCTACATCTTGTCCAAAATCAAATCTGAGGCCCTTTCCAGATCAACAGCCCTCATTCTGTTTAAAACGTTGTGACATCTGGAGTCAATGAAAAGAGGGGCCTGTCATTAAAGTCCAGGGAGGGGATACAAAAAAAAAAAAGACTTCCTATTGTCATCTTTAGGAACACTTTTTTTCCTGTGCTAAATGACCTATGTGTGGAAGGAAAAACTGGTTTTATTTCAAGGTGAATTAAGTCTGTTAAAAATGTTCTAAATGCCCATAAAGAGAGCTATACTCAGTCCCAGTGGACCCCACTGTTGGCCCCCACTGTTGGCAGAGAGGAGAGACTGGCAGAGTGCCGTCTCTCCTCTCAACAGGGGGACATATCATAGCTTGACTGTCACGGCTCCCCTGAGTTTTGGTCATTCACTGGAACCAAAAACAGCCTTCCCTCGGCATATTAAAACTCTCTGACATAAATCACGGTGACATCCTCTTAGACAGACAATGGAATAACGAGCAGAGGAGAGCACACTCATGAAACTTTTACTCAGAGAGCAGTCCGGGGCTACTTAGTGGGAGGGCGGGGGGTTGAGGTCGGAGTACTGTGAGTGGGAGTTGTGGTTACCGGGAAGATTGGATTGAGATGTTGACCTATGAAGAAACATGCAGACAGTGGGGAAGAAAATGTTATTTTCAAAGCACCCTGAGATGGATTTTTGATAAGAGCAGAAGGTCAAGTAGTAACAAACGTCAGTGCTGTGTCAAGAAGCGGTGATTTTGAACTGAAACTCATGGCTTTCTCTCGCTTTCATCTAGAGCGGCTGATTCTTAGGGAGATTTTTTTTTTGCGCTTTCCGATGCTGTAAATCAGTTGTGTGTTTTGACATGCTTGCAGCAGAATGCAGGGCATCTGCAGGCCATTTCACAGCCAGGCTACAGGTACATTTATCACCCTCCTGTTTAATCAGCTGCCTGTCACCAAGCCGGGCCCTCAACCTCTGCTAATGCTCATCACATCACACCTACCGTCAATATGGCTGCTATACTGCCGGAGTGCCGGTGCTAACATGCTAAATTAGTTGGTACCACAGGTACTTTGAATTTCAGGCTGGAACTCAAACTGTGTGTATCTGTCTCAAGTCCCCATGGTTATAAAGGGCTACAAGCTTCAAAAGAAATTGGCCAATGGTACAAACTAATGTAATACTAACAACAGTCAAGAACTGAATGAATATTCTCCACTGGCACATAATAACCTCGCAGCAATTAAGTGAAATTTAATTTTGGCAGTGTATTCATTATATTCATTCATTGTGAGGTTCTTTTTTTAAATCAGTGGAGGTAAAGATAGCAGAAACAAGTGATATTACAGAGGATTTCATAGAGCAGCTGCTCTGTGATCACAGAAATGTTTGCTTTATAGTGAGAGAATCAGACTAATTCTGTGCAAACACAATGAACAGCAAAAGACATGAGGGGATAGACTTGCATCTGTGCCTTAAAAGGGTGTCAAATCTCAGATATTACATCCATTGATTATTTGAATCTTATTTCATATGTACATTATATATATCATGCCTGTTGATGCTAGTGTTCATGTAAACTGCTTTACTGATAATGCAGATATTTCAAACAATCATATAAAAATAACTTCATTTATCTGTGAGGAACTTCATTTGTGTAAAGGCATCAGTGCACACACAACACATAACCGGACAGACGTAAGACCACAACTGGTTATTTATGCTGATAAACTAGATAACAGTTATTAGATGTGTTAGTAAGTAATTTTTATTACCTTTTAATGGAGCTAAGCTAGCTCTTTACCCCCTCTTTTCAGTCTTTATGCTAAGCTAGCTGGCTGCTGCTTGTAGCTGAATATTTACTGTAGTGAGAGTGGTACCAATCTTCTCATCTAACTTAAGCAGAAAGTGAAGAAGTGCTCTTGCCAAAACGTTGTCATTTCCCTTTAATAAAAGCACAAAGACTGAGTCAAATTATAAGCGGCTGTAATGTGTGTATATATAAAACGAGTACTCGAGGGAAAACACTTTTTAGTATCTCAAAATCTTCCCATATTTTTGACTGCAATGTTAAAACAGATTTCAACAACTATCACTGTTGAAAGGCCAGACCTCCAAAATAGCAGTGACATCAATTAAGATTTGCATGCTTCTGAATCCCTTCATTCACATCACAGCTGAAAGTGTTTAGTGTGTGCTTACTCACCACTGAGGTAACTAAGATCTCATCATAGGGTGCCAGCTTGCAGACAGTGTCACTGAGTAATAAAATACATGCCAGCACGCTGGCAGGCATCATATTTCAGGGAAAATGGAGCAGGATCAACCTATTTTTCCAAGGTTTAATAGTACTCCAAGGGTGGGGCGATTGATTGGCTGCTTGGTAGGCATACGCCTGCCAAGACACTCCTAAAAGCCCCGACTGTAAACATGCCCCAGATTTACTAAAGCAGCATGAGCCAAGTCACAAGGCAAGGGGGCAACGGGGACAAAGGGGTTCACTAGCAGCCAGGCAAGAAAACCCAAAGGAGAGGAGAGTGTAGCGCAGCTGATATTAATCTCACCCTGAGCTCTGCTTATCTTACATGCAAGACATACATTTATCAACAACAACAAAAAAAAGAAAAAGAAGAAACTATCCATCTCTGCCCTCTGCCAGCCAAAGCCACACAA